CTCCTCTGGGAATGCAGGGGGCAAAGGCTGCTGTGCTGTTCCCAGGTCAGATTGGATCCAGGTAGGAATGCTTGGCTCCTCCCCTGGGCGCAGCATCTCCCCATGGATGATGGAATTTTCTCAGCCATGCAGGGACACTCAGTGGCCATGGACAGCAGAGATCTCCTGGAGGGAGGATTGGCTGTGGGAGAGAGAAAGAAAAGTGCCCAAAGAGCAGCCGAGCCCTGCCCCAGCTCTGACAGGTGGCAGTAGAATACACACCCCCAGCTACATCTTGCAACCTAAGACACTTCATTTATGGAATGAGGGAATTGGAATGAGCAGCACAAAATTGATGGGATTTATAAACACTGACTTTATCCCCTCTTTTCACCTGCTGCTTCTGCACTAAGGCAGCTCTTGCAATGCCACTACTTTATTCTCTGAGGAGGGTTTTGGAATAAAGAGCCCTTCATGGGAGAGTACCTGTCCTGCAAAAGAGATGGGAAAGGAGACCAGTGAGGGTGGGCAGAGGAATTGTATTTTTAAGTCTTGATCTTGGGGTTGTTTCATGTTGCCAAGACATTGATGTAGTGTTTGGAGGTGATTGCTGTGTGTTGTGTAATATATTGGATTCTTGTTAATGACAGAATTTAGTCTTTTGAAGGTTTGAGCACACTATGTGTTTTCTAGCATTACTTCTACTTTTGGTCAAAATCTCTTTTATTTGTCTGTCATTTGAGTAGGCTGGTCAGGATGTTCTGATCAGATCAATGGCAGTGAGAAAATCCACTGAAAACCACAAATCCATAGGTAATGTCCATCCTTTTCATTGCCAGGGTGTTTTGAACAGCTTCTGAACATTTTTAACTTTTATCTTAAGGCAAAGCAGTTTGGTAAGGCAGTGGTGGGTACTGTAAAATAAGGATCTCTTGTTTTCTGCTTTATAATACTTTTTATCTAAGTGCTTTGCCAGCTGTGAGATTGAGCATCAGTTGATCTGGGAGCGCTCTCTGGTGAGTGTGGTTTGCTACAAAGCAACATAATCTCCTTTTGCATCCCTAGACAGTCGCACCAACTCTGTGAGCTTCTGTGGATCCTTGTTTGGGGATAACCTAATAACAGTGTCAACAATTCCGTTGCCATGCTGGAAAATAACAGGTCTGGGAAGTATTAACCAGCTGGGATACCTAGCATTTCATGTGGTGGTTGTAGGCAGTTACTGTGCACTACAACTTCATGGTTTTAGCAATTTTTATTTAATAGTAAGTAACTGGCAGCTGACATAAGTTCAGCACTCCTTGAGTTTTCTGCAGGATAGTAGTCTGATTTGGGATGGGAATAGTGAAATATTCAACAGAAAGAAGCAGCAGCATGAAAAAAAACATACACTCTGACAACACAGGGCAGCTGAATCATACAAATAGATCCTGATCCAAAACAGCAGAGTCTTAAAAAAATGCAAGCAAACCAATTTATACAAAACCATTTTTTGAGAAAAATAAATTCTTTTGGCCACTGGTGTCAAACATGAAATTAAGCCTGTTATTAATTTATCCCCAGTCTGAATTATTGTGTGTCACTTCATTGCAATGCTTCAGCTGTATCTTCAGAAGCACAAAGATTTGTATTTCAAGGATGATGCTTTAGTTGCATTCATGTCTGGGTCAGTTTGTTTCTTCTGGGGCATTGCATCCTCTCCTGTATTTAACTTACTCTGTGTTTGACTGCTTTGTGCTTGATTTAGGCCTCACTGGTTTGGGGCTATGTCCCTGGAAATAAGTAGCTGGCAGTCCAGGTATCTGTCAGGTTGCCAGGGTCTCAAGGTGAGCTTGGAACTCTACAAATCTAAACCCTAAACATAGGTGTGCTTTGGCATTTGCAATTTAAAACAAATCTTGATAAGATCAGAATTTGTGACAAATGCTGAAATTGCTATGGGGGAGTTTTACATAGATAACTTTATTTAGAAACAAATACCTTCCCATTAGTTTATCTTCTTAATAATAATAAGTGGAATAGGAAGGCAAGGCAAAAAGTGTTTCTGACCAGTTGATCTTATCAGGATTTCATTCTGTCTTTCCAGCTTGCATGTTTGCTGCTGCACTTGGCTCTACTGGTGATGAGAATATATGTGGCACAGGCTTCATTCCAGCTCTCCCTTCCTTTTTGCATCTGTCATACAAGATGCTTCCAAAATGCAGATTATTTTATCTGTCTGTGAAAGGGAACTGGGAGGTTGTTTTGACTGTATACAGATTTTTGCCTTTTAAATACATCAGTGTTTGTGTAGCTGCTTAATCTTCTTTCTTTTATCTGTGATTCTCCTGTTGGCTGAGTAGTGCTCCAACTCTTACATAAGGAAATCTCACTCCTAAGGCATGTTCCATTAAACCCCAGAAGATGAGCTGTGTCTTCTCAAGGTCCCATGAATAATTTGCAAGGTTTAGCAGCTATAATTAAGGGAAGGTCAGCATATTGGCAGTATATAAATTCTAGTTTTAAGCCAACAAGACATGGCTGTCCACAGCTGAAAACCCCATTCATTTTGTGGAATATTGCAATGTAGAGTCTTGGGTTAGGAAATGAGGGTGGGATCTGGGTATTGTACTGTGGAATATCCTGAGTGGGAAGGGACTTGCAGGGATCATCCAGTCCAGCCCCTGGCCCTGCCCAGATCCCCCAACAACCCCTCCTGGGCATCCCTGGGGCTCTGGCAGCCTCGGGGCCGTGCCCATTCCCTGGGCAGCCTGGGCAGTGCCAGCACCTCTGGGGGAAGAACCTTTCCCTGAGCTCCAGCCTGCTCTGCCCTGGCCCAGCTCCAGCCGTGCCCTGGTGCTGCCCCTGTCCCAGGGCAGGGATGGGAGCTGCCCCTCAGGAGGAAACTGCAAAGTGCCTTGAGGTCTCCAAGCTTCTCCATGTTTGGAGAAACATGTGGAAGTGGGTTTGGATCAGAAATAGCCTTTCCCTGTGAGCACAGTCTGACCTGCCCATCTCAGTGCTGATTGTTCTCCCTCCATTCCTATTAAATACATTTTGCTGAGCAATATCCCAACAACTTAAGCACAAGAGGCTGGAAATTCTAATAAATAGAAAGCTTACAGCTAACCTGTCTGCAACATAAAGAAGCAGAGAACTGAAAAATACCATGAGAAATGGGGGAAGAGTAATTTCTTGAAATTATACTTTAAAATAGTATATCCTACCATTGAGCTGTGCTGTGAGAGGAGGTCAGTCAAAGTGAAAGTCTCTGGGGTATAAAAAATGTATCATACCAAATAACTCACAGGCTTCAGGCCTCACATTTTAAACACAAATTACAGTTTTTTGGTTGCCTAGGGAATCTTGTTAGAAAGTGAGGCAACAGTTTCAAGGAGTTAAAAGCAGAATCAGGGAATGGTTTTGGTGGGTTTAGTTGCCCATGGAAGTTTTGGATGTGCACAAGTCTCCTCAATACACTGATACACTGAAATTATTCCAAACTGAGCAAAAAGCATTTAGCGGTGTCTCTTCCTCTTGGTGCAGAGAGTTGTTTTCTTATTACTTCCTTAGAATTTAGGAGAGTGGACTATTAATGTACCAGGAAGGCTGTGTCAGTAAATGCACTGAGTACAGCACAGAGGTTTTCCAGTGTCCCGCCCCACTGTTGCATGTGTTACTGGAGATGTGATATATGATAAGAACCTGATGTTTTGCCTTGATGCCTTCTGACCTCCTACTCTCCTTAACTCCCTGCTCTCTTTCTCTCTCTCTCTCTCTGGCCTTTTTTGTCTATCCATTTCTTTTTAGAAAATGAGTGACTTTCTCTCCCAAGAGGATGTGGCTGCAGTGGCAGAGTGGAGCAGTTTTAACACTGGCTTTGCATGGGAGGGCTCAAGGCAGTCGGTAGTTTTTAGTGAGACTCCAGTGCCACCCACCTCACAGCCTTCTGCCAGCTGGCACTTTGGTGCTTCCTCCCTAAGCAGCGAGGAGGATGAGGAGAAAGAGGAGGAGGAGCAGGAGGAGGCGGTTCCCAGCCGATCCGCCAGCGAGGAGGACCTGACATGTGGAAAGGGGGTTTGTGTGGATGTGGAGAAGGACTCGGAGCTCTCTGAGCTGGAGCCCCCACCCAGCCTTGCCACACTTCCCTGGCAGCTCTGGGGAGGAGAGGAGGAGGAGGTGGCAGAGGATGGTGAAGACAGCTTTGCCTTTAGAAAGCCACATGGCGAATATCCCAACCCAGATGCTCCTAACAGGCTGCTGGAGCTCATTCGCTGCTTCCAGGTAGTGAGCCCAGCTCCTGCACCCCACGCCCCAGCTTCCTTTGGAGTGGGAACCCAAACACTGCAGCAAGCAGATGCCACAGACCCGCATAGGAGTTGGGTTTGCTTGGCTTGGACTTGTGCTTGGAGCTAATGAGCTGGTGAATCTCCCACAGTCAGTGCAATAAACCCCTCTCAATTTATCTTTGAATTAAATATGAACCACTGTCAATTTGTCTTTGCATTAAATACAAGTCCCTCTCAATTTATCTTTGCATGAAGTACAGTTGCCACAGTGCAATGCCCTTTGCTCTTCTTGGATTGAAGCATCCTGTGGCATTCCCATGAAAAGGCAATATTTAGGCTCAAAAATAATGTCATTTTAGCTCCTTAAGGAGTTTGCTGGCTCCAGCTGGACTGGCAGCTGACTCTCAGCACAGCAGAGCAAATTTGAGGTGCTGTCCAGTGTGTCCCTTTATGCTCCCCACTGTGGGAGGGATTTTTGCCTGCTCCAGTGTTGTTGCTTTTGGTTCAATAGATGCCTGTTTCCCCCTGATGATCGCAGTGGCATCTGGCCGGGTTGGGGATGGTGGCAGAAATCGAGCTCTCTGGGAAAGCAGTGGCTCTGAACTCACTCTGTCTTCTTCTGGATAATCATCAGGTGTTGGAATAACTGATTTCTCTCCACCCTTACTTTTCTTCCTGTTTTATCTGACATTGATTTAATAAAAGTTAAAGATTTGATGAGGATTTTTCATAACACAGGATTACTCTTGAGGTCAGGATAAAGCTACTCAACTGTGGTAAAGTCTTTGTGTGCCCATGGTTGGTGTTAATCCTGACACTGGCATCAGCAGATGAGGGTCATCTTCTCCTGGCAACTGGCAATGAGCTTCTGGTAATTAGAAAGTTAAGAATCAGTGGAGACAGTGTCTGTGGTATTGTGACACACCTGTTAAACCCTTAATGCCTGGTTTGGGCTGACCAGAGTCCACAGTGTGGGGAAGGGCTGGAGGATTTTGCTGTCTGTCTAATCCTCATGCCTGATTGCTGCCCTCGGAGCAGTGTGTTGTTCCAGACACTTAAACCCAAAGATTTCCAGGCTGACCTTGGTTCCCACAGTACTTTTATCAGATCAGTGTCAGAGCACTTGCCAGCAGCCCAGTCAGGATGTGGAGATGGGAACTAGCTGTTTACAAGATGTTTTTAACCCTGTCTCACAGCCCCCGCTAGTGAAGACACAGACTGTCACCATCTCTGATGTGTCCAGTGCCGTCAAAAGTGAAATTCCCACAAAGGAAGTCCCTATTGTCCACACAGAGACAAAGACCATCACCTATGAAGCTGCACAGGTAAGGTGTGTCTGATAAATTTCCCAGGGGCTTAATTAAACCCAACTAAACATTTTGTTTCCAAATCCTCAGGATGAGACAGCAGCACCTGCCTGTCTGCATGTCTGGGTGCAGCACAGGCATTAACTGATACTGTGGACATTATTTCCAGATGCATCTGGTATTTTTAGGGGAACAGTGGTTTTGCTATCCCTGAAGAGTAATTATTTTTTCAAGATGTGCTTGCAAACAGAATTTATCTTCAGCCACTGGTGGCTTCAGGATGTGGCTCTTTCTGTACAGAGTTAACCTGAGTTGGCCTTTTTTTCTGCAATAAATGACTTGTTTTGTTTTCCCAGATCACCCAAAGAAGCTGTTTATGCCTCTTCAGAACTTGGTTTATAAATTATTTGGTCATCCTTAGGTTTCAAGACTGAAATGGTTGTTAAACACCAAATGTTTTTTATAAAATGAAACCTCGGTGTGTGTTGACTGGAAAGTAAAAATCTTAGTGGAACAATCTTATGAAGCAGAGGATATGCAGATATGGATTCAATGTTGTTTTAGAAGGTTTTAATCACAAAATGGCAGGATGGTTTGAGATGGAAGGGACCTAAGAGTTTACCCAGTTCTAGCACCCTGTTGTGGGCAGGGACACCTTCCACTATCCCAGACTGTTCCAAGCCCTGTCCAGCCATGGACACTTCCAGAGATCCAGGGACAGCCACAGCTTCTCTGGACAATCTATGCCAGGACCTCCCCACCCTCCCAGGGAGCAATTCCTTCCCAATCTCCCATCCATCCCTGCCCTCTGGCAGTGGGAGCCATTCCCTGTGTCCTGTCCCTCCATCCCTCTCCAGCTCTCCTGGAGCCTCTTTAGGCCCTGAAAGGGCTCTGAGCTCTCCCTGGAGCCTTGTCGTCTCCAGGCTGAACACCCCCATCCCTTCCAGCCATTCTTCATGTATTTGAAATTTTGGAGCCTGTGTTAGCTTGGCTTTGCCATCACTGTGGTTGTCAGCAGCAGCCTGTGCTCTGCTGTTACAGTGAAGTGACTGCAGGAATCTCATGATTGTATCATTTGGGATTCCTAAGGAATGCTGTGGCTGCTCTGCATCCTCCCAGCTGCAGCACCAGAGAGATCATTCAGACAATGGTGGTGAGCATTGCCCTTGCTTTCAGCAAGTGTGTAGGTGAATGGAGGAGTTTTGCTCTAACTGGAAAATGGAAAGGAAAAGTGATCTCTCCAGGGCTGGGATCAGTCAGCCATGTGTGCACAGGATGTGATGTGCCATGAGATCTCTTCCAAACTGTGGAAAATGGTCCCACCTTGTGGTAATTCCAGATATTGTCCCAGTGCTGAGCAAGGATGCTGCCCAGTGGGGACATGGACAGCACAGTCAGGATGAGCTGGCCAGGATAACTTAAGTTTGGGATTTTTGGCAGACCTTGAGTGGTTAAGTCAGGGTGAAATCCAAGAACCAGCTCTAAAAGTTATTCCTGTTTCAGCAAATTTCTGGACGTTCTTTGCTTCTGCAAAACATGAAGTGAGGGATGTGCAAGGTGTTGTCAGGAAGGAGGAAGGGTGACAATTACCTTCTGAATAAGATTGTGCTCTTGGCTTTGTTGATCTCCATGGATGGAGGCAGGTGGAATTTGGGATTGATGTCTGTGTTGGTCTCCTGTCATGGTTCAGGCATGGATGGTATGACTAGCACTGCTGGGCCAGCAGCATGCTCAGATTTGGGTACATCCCCGTGCCCCCGGTCTGAGGGGTGTCACATGTCCTCCCTGAAGGATCTGTGCTTTTCCAGCCTTAAAACATAGGGACTTTGAGCTTTCAGAGACCTCCCCAGCTCATGTGCACCTAGGCACAGGTTGACTTGTGTCTTGTACACGATGGAGCTGCTGTCCTCAGATTGTCCTCTCTCTGGCTCTGGTCATGTGGGGCCTTTGCTTCTGTCCCCATTACTCAGGGACTGATGGTCTGTTCTTGTGTCCCACAGACAGATGGTGGCAATGGGGATTTAGACCCTGGCATCCTGCTGACTGCCCAGACCATCACTTCAGAAACCACCAGCAGCACCACCACCACCCAGATCACCAAGGTAACACCAGAGAGCCCCACAAAACACCAATTTAACCAACAGCCTGATGGAGAGAGCAGGGATGAATGAGGGAAAAAAAAATTCTTGGACGGTCCTTTCAAATACACGATTAGTACCTGGAGCAAAGCACAAAGGCTTCAGTTCTGCCTGTGTTAAATCTGTGGACTGTGCATTAATTGCAGCACAGTCTGGACATTGACTCTGACTATCCTGTGGGACAGCAGGAAGAGCTGTACTGTGGGGATAAGTTCTTCCCTGGTTCAGTTGTAAAAAATAACTCTTTGACAGTTTTTCCTTGAGCAGCAGCAGCTTCCCCTGTGACTCTAATGCTGGGTACAACAGCACTATTTGGTGACACTATTTTTGGATACCATCTTTAGACAGGCAGCCCCAGTGAGCTCAAATGTCTCTGCACTTTTATACTAACAGCAGCTTTTCCTTCTGTTCTAGACTGTGAAAGGTGGCATTTCAGAGACACGGATTGAGAAGAGGATTGTCATCACAGGAGATGCAGATGTAGACCATGACCAGGTAGGAGCATGGATAAGATCCAAAAGAGTTTCCCAGAGTTGGAAAAAATCAGTCAGGCTGCCTGTTCAAAGACAATGTGACCAAAAAATGAACTAGGGAAATTTTACTGGGGTAGAGATAAAAGTTCGTATTTTTGTAAGTTGTGGCTGCTCCATCCCTGTAAATGTTCAAGGCCAGGTTGGACAGGGCTTAAAGCAACCTGTCTAGTGGAAGGTGTCCCTGCCCATGGCAAGGGCTGGAATGGGATGAGGGTTTAGATCCATGTCCAATCAAGCTATTCCATGTCAATAATAAATTCCTTTTTGACATTAAGCAGCTGAGCCAGGAAAGCTAAATTGTATGATGAACAGCAAAGTTTTGATTCCAGAATTGTTTTGGACAGTTGTAGGTTTTTTTTTAAAAATCCATAAAAATGTGAAATAAAAGTTTTCTTTGACATCTGGCTGATCTGCATTCCATTTCCCATAACTTTGAAGCACTCTTGCTATTCTGTAGTGCCAGAAGTCATTTCAGAGCACTTAGCACCTGTGTTACATCTCTTTGGCTTTATACGAAACCTTTTTGATGACTCAGCCTCATTGGCCTCTTGCATGTGTTGGAAGTGATGATTTTGTCATCAGAGAATTATACTTTCAATTTAAATTTAGTCACAAGTATCATGGGGGTGGAAAATATTCTTATGACAAGATCTAGTTTATTAACTCCAACAGAAAATGTCTGAGATGTGCCTATCACACTTGCTGGAAGAATAAGGAGGTTATGCTTAATTGCTCTCATCCATCTTATGCCATGGGGCAGTGGAGAGATGGGGGTATTCTTCAAATAGTGCTTTTCCTTTCAGAGATAATGTATTAGCAATAAAAGTCACCAAAGTATGTGGCTGAAGTCTTGGGGGCAGTGTTTGGTACCACAATTTAAGACCCAGAACTATTAGAGAGATTCAAAAGGAAGCTCTGAAGATGGGGAAGGATCAGGAGGGGCCATAGAGGGGGTGGCTGAGGGCACTCGGTGTCTTCAGCTGGAGCAGAGGAACTGAGGGCAGAGCTCTGTGGGCTCTGCAGCTCCCTTAGAGGGTGCTGGCACTGCCCAGGCTCCGCAGGGAATGGGCACGGCCCCAAGGCTGCCAGAGCCCCAGGGATGCCCAGGGTGGGGTTGTTGGAGGGTCTGGGCAGGGGCTGGACTGGACTGGACTGGACTGGACCGGACCCCTGTGGATCCCTTCCAACTTGTGATTGTAATTTTCCTGTAATTCTATTAAGTGCATCTACTTTGCTTTTTTACACCCTGGAGTTAGAAGAAGGTACTTGTGCCCTTGGGGATGGTGGATGCCATGCTCTGTCACTCTGACATGCTCTAACCCGTGCTCTCCCATGCTGTCCCTCAGGTCCTGGCCCAGGCGATCAAGGCTGCCAAGGAGCAGCACCCAGACATGTCGGTGACCAAAGTGGTTGTGCACCAGGAGACAGAGATTGCAGAGGAGTAGTTGGGCTGTGTGAGTAGAGACCACCTCAGGTGAGGGCAGGGGGTGATTGTTCTCAGTGCACAGGAGATTTGGGTAAAGAGGGTCAGCGTTGAAGTAAAATGATCATTGTTCTCTGCTGAGTCCTGCTCAGGCTGTTCCTGTTAGATCCGTGGAGGCTGATGAGGCAGTCAGAGACAGCCTAATCCTGTGGAAATGAGCCCAAATGGGTTAAAAGCTACACAGCTCTTGCCATGAGGCTACTTTGCCTTCCCAAATATCCATGATGTGCTGAGAGCACATGGAGCAGCTGTAGGCCCATGTCAGTGCCCAGTAACCCCCGAGCTGGACCCCAAGCTTGCCTGGAAATCCCGTTTCCTGCATTTTTTATAAGTTTGGGAAGGAGCTGCTAAAGGAATCCTGGAGCTCTGACTGTGCCTCAGTGCTTTAAAGGCCATCCTGCCCCATGCCACTGATCATAGAATCCTGAAATGGTTTGGGTTGGATGGGATGGTAAAATTCATCCAGTCCCACCCCTGCCATGGGCAGGGACATCTTCTATTATCCCAGGATGCTCCAAACCCTGTCCAACCTGACCTTGGACACTTCCAGGGATCCAGGGGGTAGCCACAGCTTCTCTGGGCACCCTGTGCCAGGGTCTCACCACCCTCCCAGGGAACAATCCCTTCCAAGTATCACATCTAACCCTGCCCTCTGACATTCTTGTCCTGTTGCTCCAGACCCTTGTGCAAAATCACTCTCCTGGGTCCCCTTTAGCCATCTCTCACCTGCTACTGGTGGTAACTCACCTGAATTCAGTTCCCATCCACTTCAGGGAGGCAGATTCCTATCATCTCCAGCATGCTGCTGTTGGTAGTGAAATCTACCATCTTCCTCTCTTGCTAGGAAATGTTCCTGCCTGCTACAACACCAGGAAAAAGAAACCCAGCAAAACTACCAAGAAACTACCTGGAGCACAAAGACCTCGGATTTCAGACTTGACACTCAGAGACATTCATGTCATTTATTAAGAGTTGTGCTTTGACATTTTACTTGGGATTTTTCCAGAGTCCACTAGATCCTATTGGATATAGGGTTTTGTTTTGTTGGGGTTTTTTTATATATATTGCAACAGAGATATGCCATATTTCTAACTTCTGAAATACTTCTAATATTTTTTACAGGTTTTCAGTTTTGCATTCCCTCTCACACAAAGCCTCTTCAGACACAGAATCCCATCTCACAGGGCTCCAGGGCTCCCTGTTTTAACTTGTATTCCATCTGCCTTGTCAGGGATAATGGAGCTGTTCCATGCATATTCCCAGTGCGGGATCTGTATGCGCCTTCACAAAGCCGTGGGTCCTTCTTCCAGGAGAGTCAGTTTAGAGTCAGACTTCATGCAGCACTTCCGATTGTCTCCAGCTTATTTTTGTAGCTCTGGAGAGCTCCAGTCCTGCTGCGACCCCTGGGCTGCTCTGAGCTTCCTCCCCACTGGGTTCCAGCCCTGACGTGTGACCACAGTAGGGTTTTGTGGTGTAGCCTATGCACTCATCTGAATAGTTGACTAGCTTTAAGGAATACTGGAAGTTGCTTCAAGTATCTTATACTGTGAATTTTAGAGCGTTAAGAGGACTGTGGTAGCATCTCGCCTTCTTCTTGTGTGTCTCTGCTGAGTGCTCCCCAACCATTTGTGTTTCCTAGGTGCCATTAAATTAAAAAGCCCTTAGAAGTGTGTGTTTAAGGTGTTTGGACTCAGGATGCTATTAAGGTAGGCTTATGCAGCATTCACGGGAACTGAGCTTTTCAATGTCATAGTTTTTCACTTGTTTGTGTTCATAATTTTTAAATTAGGGAGGGGTTTTTGTTTTCTTTTGTAAGTCATGGGTTGGTTTTTTTTCCTCCCCTCACAGTGCTGTTTAAAGCTGAACACGTTACCCATTTCCCAGAGCGTGTATCCTATTATCATTTAATGTAAACTCCTTTAGACAATTTTTCCTAGGCCTGCAAGCTGTATTTGGAGAGGCTGAACAAGGAATTTTAGGAGGTGTCAGGTGTTGCTGGTTGTGATAGAGCCAAACCACATGGGAAGTGTTGATGTTCTCTCTTCCACGCTGGCCTGTGGGTCTGGATTTGGTTTCATGACCCCCCTTGCTGGAATGAAACATCAGGGTGATTGTCTGAATTTTGAGGCTGAGCTTACAGACCCCTAGGGCAATCTCCAGCACAGAGGGGGTGATGCAAAAACACGATTTCAGGGGCTGGATGTGCTCTCACTGCTGCTCTCTAAGCTTCATGGGAATGTTCTTGCCTGGTTTGTCCTTCTATCATTTAAATTCAAGAAGCAAAAAAGCAACCAAGCTCTGTAAAGAGTCTGCCCAGACACTTGTGAACACTTTAGTCCACTTGAGGTTGTGATTTTATTTGTTTTTCATGTACAAATATACATATATATATATATAGTGTGGCACAGTGGTAGCTGAGGGCAGGGAGTGTGCTGCTCCTCAGGTGAGGATGGGAAAAAATGGCAATGAAGATAAAATCTCTCCAGTTTTAAATTTAAATCATGTGTTTCAGAAGTCACTGGATTTAGCTCAGGCTGCAATGAATTCACTGTTCAGCTGCAACTGGCCCTGGAACTATATTGGGGCTGGTGCAGCTTCTCAGCTTCAGGTGCAATTTTAAATAAGCTGCCAGTATTGATTGGAGACTGCTGGAGGTGCTGGATTTTGGTTCTATTTGAGACTTGCTGGCCCTGGGTCCTGCTCAGCTTCCAGCCTTCCTGTGCTGGCAGCTGCCTCTGGGCTGCTCTGGTGCCTGGGATGCTCTGCCTCCCTCAGGGCATCATGCTCTGGGGATTTAGGGAGTCCTGGGCTGTAGTGCAGAGATTAAGTCTATCCATGTCTGAAAAGCTCTTTCCTTCCTTATTCTGCCACACTGGCCCTGGAAGAGGTCTGAGTCTCTGCTGTTCTCAGCTTAGTTGGGTAATGCTTACCTTAAACACCCATCATGCTGTGCACCCTCTGTCACTGTCCTTTTTCTGGGAATTGAGTTCTTTGCTGCTTCCTTCTCACTTGCAACAGACACCTGAAGAGTGAAGGGGCACGTGGAGCAGTGGCTGAGAGGATTTCTGGGCTTTATCAGGCAGAGCCAGCATGGCGAGTTTGTCCATAGCACTCAAAGGTACTTGGCTGTCAGGAGAATTTAGCAGACTGTGGTCCGTGGGTGTTCCCTTGGGGTGTCCTGTGCCCTGAGCACAATGAGTGGAACAAAACACCCCAGGGGGTTTCTGGGGTGAGAAACCTGCTGGCAGGAGAGGTGGTTCCTTTCCAAAAGGATGTGGTCACTGTTGCTGCAGATATCCCTTGTTAAAGGGCCTGTAGACTAGAAAAACCCTATTTTTATTTTTTTCCTTGGATTTTGAGTGGCTATTTCCAGGTTGTCCATTTTCACACTTCCCCCTGCTGAGTTCTTGTTTCTCCTGGAGTAATTCAAACCAGTCATGGCCTCATGTGCCCTTTGCCATTGCCTGCTGTCTGACCTCAGGGGTTTCCAGCCCCACTCCTGCCAACACGGTGCCAGAGCCCAGGAGCTGGACAGGAGCCTGGGAAGAAGATAAAAGCAGAAGCTTCTCTCACCCTCAGCCAAGGCCATGGTGGAGCTGCCCACTCCCACTTCTGGTGGGATTTAAAACACTTGGCTCTGAGTGTGCTGTGTCAGCTCTAGGAAAAAAACAGCTAAGTAAGGTCTATTTATATGAATCTTCCCAGCTCTTCCCACTCCACAAATTCACCCAGAGACTGTCTTGATTGTATAATATGCATTATATGGAAGCTATTTATATATGAATGAATGTTTTTATAGAAAGGAAGGCAAGGAGCTCTTGTTCTTCTCCATTAAACTGGAATGGCAGCTCTGGTTGCCCAGTAGCAATCCCTGACCAACAAGAGATGTGTTGGCAAAGGACTGACTGATTTCTGGTTTTAATAAACTGTGGTTTGCTGATTTTCCTAATTGTACAATTACCTTAAGAGGTGGTAGCATCCCAGCCTTAGAGATGAAACTTGTAAAAAACAAAAAAATAAATTATTTAGTTGAGAAGATGAAGGAGCTTTGTAAAATTTTTTAAGGCAATTGTGAATCATCTAGGTTAGGCATTTACACTCTTTATAAAAATAGGAGCTTTTAAAAGTTGGCAAAACTTTCTAGATCAACTAGTGATGGGAGCTGTTATTTTGGATTTTCATAGTGAATCAAAGGGAAAGTTGCCATAGTGTTTAGGCAGACCTAAATGTTCAGTATTGCTTCTTGTATTGCATTTTTCAATAAATCTTCAAACAAAATTCTCTCCCTGGCACTGAATTCTCTTCCTCCTTCTCGCCTTCCTCCAGGTCTCTCTCCTTAGCCTGGCTTTATGGTGACTTGGTTTTACTAGCCTAAACCAAAGTCCCCAAATGTAGCTACGATGGTGCCAAAGCTCTTCCAGCCCTGGGCCAGCATTTCCCTGCACTCTTGGTGCCTTCAGGCCCTTTAAAACAGTTCCCGTTGTGGTCACATGTGGGACCAAAACCTCCAGAAGGGCCAGAAGCAATTCCCAGAGTTCCAGTTTGCCCCAAAGAAGCATCCCTTGATATAAAACCTTCCTTTGAGCTGTAGAATTTGTGGTGAGCCCAGTTGAGGTCTGTGCTCAGCAGCTGCTGCCCAACTCTTAAGTAAGTGTGACTCAACTGGAGTGGGGGGAAATGTCAAATCCATTGATATTTTGGTCCTATTTTTTTTTTTTCTGGCTGCAGCAGCTTTAGGAGGGACAGAAATAAGGCATAAAAAGCTGACAGGGCATCTTGGCTGTAGGCCTGACAGAGAACAAGAGCTAGATGGCCCAGTTAGGGCAGCTGGAGACTGGAAATTGGCTGGGAAGAGTTTTCCTGGGGCAGGGGCACTCCCTGTGCCTCAGTTCCCCTAACAGGCAGAAAGAGAAAGGTGGCACCTGACATGTGAATTCCCATTGCTCCAGACACAACCATCACCGCTTCCATCCTGACCCTGGGCAGTTTGCTTCCAAGTACTGAATCTCAGTGTCCTGTAAAGCCAAAATTACCAAGGAGCTTCAGAACCTGACCCTGGAGAGTTGGGAACCTGCCACCACTGGAGCTGCTTTCCCGTAAGTGTCACAGCAACATGACTCACTCCGCTCTGCGGCAGAGCCAGGTCCTGTTATCTCGGGCTTCTGCCCCTAGCCTGCCAGGGTGATGCTGCAAACAGCCCTGTTCCAGGGAGCTGGGCCCTGGGGAGGTCCCAGCACCTTCAGACAATGCACTGGTGTGAGGGGTCATGGCTGGGTACAAACCACAGCCCCCAAAACATCATGTCTGTGGACAACCAGCCAAAAAATGGCTTCGTTCCTTTGCTTAGCTGCACTTTGGGATGTCAGACCCCTGCTCAACGGCCAAGATGTCATCACCTGCTCCCACTTTTGGCACTATTGAGCATCACGTGGGGAGCAGCTACAAGCTCTGAGAAGCTCCTGCGGGTCCCAATCTGTCCCACAGCTATCAGCTCCAAAAACAGTATGGGACTGTGCTGGACTGCAGCAGTGTGTGCTGACAGAAACACCCTCATCAGCCTTGGGACTCCCACAGGCAGGGGAGATGGAGCTGATGGTTCCCAAGGGGCTTCTGGCACATCCCTGTCCTGGACACTGCAGGGATGTCAGTGGCACCAGGGATATGGTCCCACATTGCCCATCCACCCAACCCATGGTGCTTTGCTAGGCAGGAGTGTTGCCATTGCTAGTGAAGGGACAGGTGACCCTGGAACCCCATCCAAAGTGCCCAGGGGAAAAGTGTCCTCACCTTATTACCCCAGGGCACAACCACAGAGACAGCAAACACCCACCTCAATGCTTAGCAGTCTGGGGCTGTCCCAGGAGACTGAAAAGGCTTTTCCTTAAAGCTCCCCAAAGCCCTTCTGGGTCAGTGTCGCAAGCCCAGGGTGCTTTTATCCACCTCACAGCCAGAGCAGGAGGGAGTATGTTAATGTTGCCTGTGGTATTTTGCCTGGCTACCAGCTAGGGAAAATGTTAGGCAAACAAATACCATGGCAATCCAGATGCAAATAAATAAAACCCAACCCCTTGTCCCAGCTGCGCAGGAAGCAGCAGCTCCTGGCAGGCCTGCTCGTGGGTGGCCCCACACCTACCCCGGGCCCCAGATTCCACACCAAAGGCAATGACTGTCTTGGAGGTCCCATCCTGTGGGAAGAAGCCAGAAAAGTTGCTTTCCTTCATCACCCATCCCTGGTCCTTCTTCATGTCTCCATCGCAGAACTCAACCTGGAGAAGCAGCTGTCACATCAGGACAAGTTCCCATTAAGTCACCAGCTTATTCCAGCCCAGCTATTTTTAGGCTGTTCCTCCTGGTTTTGGGGCTCAGCAGCCAGTTGTGTTCCTGGAGTATCAGGTCTGCTCTAAGGGCTCCAGGAGGAATTGTTGTGGGAGCCAGGCAGCAGTGGGGTGACTCCATCCCTTCCAGCTGTGGGAAACAAGGGTCTGAGATAAACAGGATTGAAAGGGGAGGAATTATGTTGGCAATGGGCCAGGTTGGACACATTGAGCTCAGCTCTGAGTTCCATCACTGGGGAAACTGAGGCACAAAAGAATAGCCAAAACCAGGTGGGGAATCACCTCAGGTCCTGCAGCAGCTGGGTCAATGACCTTAGATTCATCTCTGCTCCATCCCCAACCACCCAGGGAAGCACTAGTGCAGACTCCTGCAGATTCATGGGCATCTTTTGTTTTTTGCCCCCAGCATGGGCAGTGGTCCCTGACTGGCTCCAAGCCAAAGCCCCAGAGATTTGGGCTCCAGCCCCATGCCAGCTGTCGGGACACATCACGTGGATGCTGGCAATACTGAGGGAACTCTGGCTTTTGACCCAGGACCAGCCCCAGGGCAATCCTTCCCACACTGCTCAGCACATTTCTACAGTAGGATTAACGTGCAGAGCCTTGGGTGCCAGAGAACCTATACAGGATGCTCCCAAACCCACAGAAAAAAAAAAAAATTAAAAATAATTAAGCAACTACTCCCAACCCCAGCTCCAGCCCTGTTCCAGCTCCCTTGGGTACCGGGAAGCACTAGGATAGGTGCCTTTGGCTCAGTGCTGGCTCATTAACTCAGAGAGGCATTTTGTATCACACTCCTGCCCTTTTTTAAAATAAAGCAACAGTAATCAGCCCCCTGCCAAAAGGGCCAGGGTGTTACAGACCCGGGGAGTGCAACTGCACCCAACACAGCAGTCCTCTTTAGCCATGGAGGGCAAAAGCCACATTCACCCAGCACAGGTCACACTGTCCCTTACATGCCACCTTCCCGACACCTTGGCAGGAGATTATGTACTGCAAACGCACACTGGGAGCAGAGCCCTTGCCTTCCCACAGACCTTAAATCTTGAGGAAGGGCACTCCAGCCAAGCAGATTCATGGCTGTGATCTGCCCCACTGCAGGGAGAGGAGGAGGCAGAGGAAGAAGAGGAGAAAGAGCTGTAAACGAGCCAGCAGCTGAGCAGTATCAGGGAGTGATTGTCCCCAGCTGTGGTTGTTGTGCTCCCTAGGGACAGAAGTGTCCCATCGGCAGCTCTGGAGACCAACTGACACTACTGGGCTGTCCCTGGGCATGAGAGACCCTCTGCACCTCCCCAGGACATATCTCCTACACACAGCCTGTGGTAGTGGTTCCCTCAATCCATTTTCCCATTTTTGGCCCAAACTAAGCTGTCCTGTAGCCATGCACCAGCTGAGAGGGCTCTTGGTGGTGGGGAATAACTGCAATTGCCTTTGGTCTCTCCAGCCTCTATCTTCTAGTCCAAGGGACCCCTGGAGTCAGCCCTTGTCAGCCTGGACATGTTAGTGCTGGGGACAAACTCCCAATTTTCTTTGCTGATGTGTATGATGAAATACCCCTTCAGTTGGTAGGAATCTCCTCCTGCAGTGGCCACCTCCCAGGACGGAATACCATGGGGCTGATGAGAGCTGGATATTTAGTCCATAGTTTATTTAGCCTGTTCCTGAGGACAGAAGGTACTAAAAAGCAGTGCCCTTCACAGGCTGTGCAGTGTGACATCTCCAGGGCTTCCATGATTGTTCCACTTCACAGCTCTGCAGCCAAGCAGTCAATGTAAGGATCTATCCAGGGTGTATATTTTTACTCTTTTAATTTCTGTTTCTAACCCAGCCTCACCCTGCCCAGTTCATTCCCAGAACACTGTGAGGACAGCATACATGGCATTCATCCACTGAAACCAGCACTGCTAATATGCCACAAATACTCTGGGAACAGTGGCCACAGACGGAGCTGAAGGTGAGGGATGCACAGATGCTGCTCTTCCCTGGAGAAGGCACAGGGCTTCTCACCCTGCCAGATTAATTACTCAAGCTGCTTTGCATTTTGAAATGATCCCTGTGTGACTCAGAAATGCCTCTCCTGGATGATGCTGCTGAGCTGGGAAGGAAGATGGGGCAGGAAGATGATGCTGGTGCAGGCACATGGTCCAGGCAGGTTGCCCTGTGATCCAGCCATTTCCCACAGTTAGACTAAGCCTCAGTCAGAAAATGAAGGGGAAAAATTAAAAAAAAAACACCCCCAGTAGCTTTTCGTGCAACTCCTTGTGGCATTTCAGGCTTGTTTCTTGCTGCCAGTTCCCAAAGCATGGCCCAGGGCCCAGTATTAGCTCTGACTGCAGATGGTTAAGCCCAAGTAAAAAGTTATTTTTGGACAAAAACAACCTTCTGGCACTTCCCCTGGGATGCTGCTCCAGGGCAGACCCCAGTTGGTGACTTTTTCTTGTTGTTTATTGCATTGAATCAGTGCCTAAATAACGTTAAGAATAAGCAGCCAAATAAATAGCTGAGCTTGGGCTGGTATCACTCCCAGAGAATCCTTTGGGATGCAACTGGGCCCCAACCACAGCTGTCTGTCCCATCTCCAGCCCCTGCACGAGGGAAGCTGCACCCAAGCTCTCTGGGAGGGCTGGCATTGGGTACAGACAGCTTTTCCTGTACAGCAGAACACCCCCCATCAAAGCACTGTGGGGAGTGCTTTGGGAGAAGCTTTTTGGGAGAAGATGGGCCTGGGGAAGAAAAGGCAATTTCCTAATGATTTTACTGGCATGTTTTGATCTGAAGAAGGATGTTGTTCCCAAAGTTTGCAAGGTCTGACACTCTGTATTCACTTCAGACCAGAGAGGGAGAAGAGACAGGAATAACCTCCCTCTGCAAACACTTCATACAGATAAAAGAGATTTCAGCCATCCGAACAGGCTCTAGTTTTGGAAAGGCAAATGTCAAAGACCCCATCTAGGCTGCCACAGCCATTTTAAAGCCTCCTGAACTGCTGGAGAGCAGAGCTGTCTGTGTCCTATCGCTTCAATCCATCCTTCCACATGCCTGGGCATCCCGGGTCTCCTCCTGCCCAAGATAGAGCTGGAGGGAGTAAGAAGGGATGGGATGAACCCCCAGCTCCCTTTTCTCCAGAAATCTATCCCAGTGCTGAGGCTGCCTCTCTGGCTTCATCCCATACAGCTCCTGTTCTGCATCCGACAGACACAGAGTAACAGAACAGCACCAAACAGGACATGGCAAAAACAGCACTGACACTCCCCTACCCCTCTGCCCCTTCACATCCTTCCTCCCACCACCTGCATCCTCCATCCCACCAAAAACCAGCACAAACAAACCCAGATCCACTGAGAGGCTCTCAGAATTGCTGCACCCCAGGTGGGCAGCAGCACCTTGCTCGCTGCCTGCAACTCCCTGGGCACCTTCTACCTCCCTTCTCTCCATAAAAATCCCAAACCTTGTACTTATCACCTCATCCTGTGAATGTTGAGCAGCTGGTTATGGAGCACCCCTTCTCCAGTGGAGTCTGGGTGGGGGCACAAGGTCTCACAGACCCTCTGGAAGCACTGCCCCTCTTAAGCATCCCACAGGCAAGAGGAGAAGGCAAGGCAGCACCACATGGCATCCAGATAATATTTAATAGCCCCATTGGGCCTACGTGCTCTGGCTAAGCAAATTTTCTGGTGGGTTGAGGCTGGATAAGGAACATCACCCCCCAAAGAATCTCCCCACCCTAACCACGCTGAGATAAAAGTGCTGTGGGGGCTGGTGGGGCTTCACCTGCCCCAATGTCCCCAGCCCACAGTTTGTGTGGGGTCTCAAAGCGAGGACTCCTCTGGAAAAGCCACCAGGAGAAGGGCTTGTAAGGCCAAGGGCATCCACCCAGCAGGACATCCCATTTAGGTGAGTCCTCACCCAGGAGCCTAAATGGCAGGTCAGGATGGAAGGTCAGGACCTTCATCTTGGCATTGGCTTAAAAATGCTGCCCCCAAACCCCTCCTGGATGTGGGGATTTGGGGTTGCTGGTGGGTGCTGGGGGCCAGGATGAGGGACTGGGATGTTACTGTCCCCAAAGGTGAGTGGGGACATCAGACCCGTGTGCCCTGCTCCATCCCCACCACCCAGGAGCTAGGTGGGGGCTCGGCCTGGCTCGGGGGCTCGCTGGGCTCCAGCAGCTGGTCTGAGGACTCGCCAGTACTTTCCAGTTTGGCGTAGCCCACAAGGCTGACATGGTCCAGCCGAGGCCAGCTCCGGTTCTTACGGTCCTTGATGGGGGCCACCAGCAGCACCCCCGGCCGGCCAAGGTCCAGGGATTTGGAGTGTCCCGGGGTGTGGAGGTGCACGTCGGAGCTGAGATCCACCAGTGGCTCTGCACCGGGACAACTGTTATCCACACTGATGACAACATGGCCTCCACCACCATCACCAGCCTGGCTGCAGAGTGCAGTGCTGTCACCAATGGAAACCGGAACCCGGGAGAGCTGTGGTGTTTTGGGGAGATGCTCAGCAGAGCCCCTCTCTGCCCTCCCATCAGCCCCCCGTGCTGCCCCATCCAGCAAGCAGTTGTTGAGCTTGATTATAGGCAGTGTCAAGGCTCCCACAGCTGAGGACAGGAGGGACTCAGCTCCAGTGTGGCACGGGAGGCTCAGGTTGACCTCGGTGGAGTGGAGGCTGCGGAGAGAGATCGCAGGGGAAGCTGCCGGGTGCTGCAGGAACTCAGCCATGGCCTGGAGCCGGTTGGGGCCATAGCAGTCGGACCACTTGTTGCCAGGGCTGGGGCAGGGCTGACAGGACAGGTCCACCTGGTAACAGCCCTCCACACACTCAGCACTAGCCTTGGGCAAAGCCTGGCTGTCCCCACGCTGGCAGTGCCCGTCCTCGGGGCTGGTCCCCTTGGGCAGGCCCACTTCCAGGCTGTAGAGCCCCTTCTGCATCAGCTGCCGGGTCTCCATGTCCCTATTCTCGTACAGCATTGTGTTGGCGCAGATGAAGATGAAGAGCCCAATGCCCATGATGACAGGGCCGATCAGCTTCAGCTTCTCGCTGTGGGGCATGTGGCGCCCAGCCGCCACCTCCCTCCTCATGTCCCCCACCACACTGGTGTTCCCCGTGCTGGCACCGGTGCCCCCATATCCCCGGTGAGGCCAGTAGCCCACCACGGCAATGGTCATGCCCACCAGGACCACCGAGACGCCCACCATAACGAAGGCCCCCGCGGGTGAGCGCATGCGGAGCTGCCCTTTCAGCGAGGGCTCCGTCGGGGGCTTGCGCCGCAGGCGGCGGCCCTGGCGCCGCAGAGGAACGAGGGGCACTGGCACCTTGGGCCCTCCATGCTCCAGTTCTCGCATAGGCACGTTGGATTCGCCGTTCTCTGCAGTCATCGTCTCTGGCTCAGCCACAATTCCTGCACGATGGGAGGAGAAAAAGGTGAGCAGGCATCACTGGGGGTCCTAGTGCCCAGGATGCTGCAGCATGGGCACCACAGGGACACTCAGAGCCTGGGGATGCCAGGAGCATAAGGACACCGAACCCACAGGTTACACCAGGCAGGGACAAGCAGCTTTGCTCTGCCCAATTGCTCCCCTCTTTCCTCAAGTTACTTCTGTCTCCCCACTCAGGAATGAAGGGCTGAGGCACCCTTTCCAACCAGACTCCCAAAGCCCCCAGACTCATCCCTCTAAACCCCTGAGCTGCGCAGGAAGCGAGGACAGCTGTGACCCTGCTGTGCCACACCCAGCACAGCGCCGTCGCTGGCATCGCAGCCTAAGGGACCAGTCCTGGTACCCCAGTCCTACAACAGCTGCAGAAGGTGCCACCCCCAGTCTGCCCCAACAGCAGTGAGGGAAGGGGCTATTTATTCATCTGCTGGGGAAACTGAGGCACCTGGAAACTCAAATGAAAGGTCTGACACAGCCACACCACCCAGAGCCCTGTGAGTGATGATCCAAGCAGGACCTAAAAACCTAAACCAACATCAAGACACTCAGTAGGCAGCAGGACCCACCAATCCATGGAGAATTTAAGCTAAAACAGGTGTTTTTCCCAATTTTCTGCTGTCTCTTATTTCTTCTGACCTCCTCAGTGCATCCCCAGGATCCTACCCTCACTCACACCAACATAAAACTCCACATCGAGGGATTTACAGTGCATAGTGTGTCATTTTATCCAGAACTTTATTTCCTAGATTAGCAGAAAGGTGTGGAAGCTGCTGCCCAACACAGCAGGTGACCAGCCTGGTAGGAAGCCTGGGCAGGCACCACTGTGCCTGGAATAAGTGGAACCCTGGGAAGCTAAAACAGTCCCAGAGAAGTCCCAGACCAAAAACATCTTTAAAAAAAATCTGAATAAGCTCATGCTGACAGGAAGCCATGCCCTTGCAGAGTGGTGCTGCATGCCCAGCCATGGCTGGCAGTGGGGCTGTGGCAGGATGGGGTGTCTGTGCACTCTCCGATGTCTCCCAGCACTGGCAGCATGGAAATGCTGCCCAGGCCGTTCCCCAAGGAACATCCCAAAGGGGATGTGAGCAGGGAGAGCTGCAGGGTGGCCCACAGCCAAGGGATGCTGTGGGAGGAAGCTTGTTACCCCACTGCATCTTAAACTGTCAAGAAAAGCATTTGGACAACACAATAATGGATATTCAGCAAATCAAATCCAGAAACTAAACACAAGGAGAGCCCTGCAGGAGGAGAGGGGTGACCACTACAATTTCATCCCCAAGATGAATGAAGTGCTGAGAGCCACTGACCAGCATCCAAACAGCAGAAAAATGCTATTTTTTTTCCGCAGTTAATCATCTTAAGGTGTTATTAGCATCAGAGGGAAGGAATTAAAGATATGAGATCCAGGATGACAGCTTGTTCCTGGTACAAGGCTGTCAAGCTGTGACAATTTGAGTAAGGGAGATTTAAAGGAAAAAAAAAAAAAATAAAGTCCCAAACAAATCAGACCAAACCCCAGGTGTTAAGGCTTTCTGAAAAATAAGTTGATAATCCCACGTGGCAAAGGGAGAAACACAATAAACCCAAGGTAATGTTCATCCTCAAAAATGAGGCTTTAAATATTTTGGTATTAAAGGGAAACTACTGAACACTTGAACACATCCCAAAGATTGCGGGCTTTTTGCCTCCAGATGCCCTGATTAAGGTTATCTCTTAATTTTCTCTAATTGCCATCTTAGCTTCAAACTCTCTTAATTTTTATAGCAAACCCTGGCTTACTTAGGGATTCAGAAGAGAATGACCCTCTACATTGCAAGAGAAAGCTCTTGGACACTGACTGGGGGGAACATGACCCCCCCAGCTCACGACCCCAAACTCACACTGAACACACACCAGGCACCTCCTGCTTTATTCTGGAGCCTCAGCCAGGCCTCTTTAACCCCAGTTCCTCTAACCTCTCTAACTCCTCCTGTGGAATCAAGACGAGTGTCCACAGGGACCAGGAGCATCCCCGGTGTCCCACCTGTGGGGACAAAGAGTATCCCATGGGGAGAACAAACTTCACTAGGGTCCTGCCTGTGGGGACTATGAGCATCTCCCAAATCCTGCCTGTGAGGACCCTGCATCCTTTGGATCTCATCCAGGACAATGCTTTGGGTCTAGGTGATGTTCACCTGGGCTGTACCAGGCTGCTCTTGCCACACTTTTGCTCTGGATACAGTCTGGGATTCATCTCAGGCTGCCTGGGAATGGTACAGGAGGATGAGAGGTGCCCACCCACCCCACATCCACAGGGTCCAGACCACACTGGGGCTGAAACAATCCCCTTCCCACCTCCTCCCCTTTTCCCTGGGCACAGGGACAGAGGTGCTGGCAGGAGGGACAGGCAAATGCCACCAATCTGGCTGCTGGCAGGGAATACCCTCTGTAGCCCCGGCCACTATTCCTGCCCAGAGTGCCCATCCCTTATGTGCCCACTACTGTGTTCTGAACTTGGAGCATTTCCTTGCTCATTGCTGGGGCTGGCTGTTCCCAGAGTTCAAAACCATTACTTTTATTAATAGAACCCCCAAGGTTATATAACCCTTTTTGAAAAAATAAATTACAAAACTACAAAACTCAGCACTGCCATTCCCTCCTGCACCCTGCAGCCGTTGACACTCCCGCAAATGGATGAATGCCACGTTAGAGCAGCGGCGTCAGACACGGCTCAGGGAACAGGGGCTCGGGGACAGCCCGCTCCCATGCTGGGACAGGCAGTGGCTCGGCATTCCTGGCCACCTCCGTCCAGCCCAGAGGCATTTGTGGCTCACCAACTCGCAGGTTTACATTCCTGGTGGGAAGGAATGACAGTATGGAACTGTAAATATTGTATGGGAGTGGGATGAGCACTGCTCTGCTGCCAGGTTAAGCTCCAATCCTCGCAATAAGCCTGACATTAAAACAAACCCAAATATTTCTCTAATCCCTCCCATCACAAAGACACATTGCTGGCTCCACCCTCCCACCTCAATCCTCTCTGGCCACCGTTGCAGATTGATTCTCCTAAAATTTGACACGAAATCCCAATGCATCTGACAAGCAAGCAGAGCTTGGTGCTGGTACAGCAGAATTTAGGAAGGGTCCCTCCTGCAGGCAGATCCTCACATCCTCTGGGCATCCCTGGGATGCTCTGCCCCTACCATGACCACACTGCCAGCTTGAATTTCCAATATCAAAGGCTATCAAAAAGCAGAAATGGCCTCCAAATCTCCCTCTGGCTGAGGGAAGAGGAGCTATAATGGCATCTGGAAGTGCCACTCCAGTCCTGTGCCACAGGAGGTGCCACCCGGCTCAGTGATGGGCTGGAGATGAAGAAATGTCATATGGGAAAAGTGCAGGCAGCTCTGAGAGCCTTCCCCTCGTTGGTTTATCCCTCTTGCCAGTTATCCTTCCAGGAGCTTTTTCTTTTCCTTGGTTCACACCTGGAAAGGGCTTCACTGCAGGACAGCATCCACCACACAGAAGGGAACCCAGCATCTCCCCAGGGACAGTGTTCCCATTGCTGCCATGCCCCATCCCAGGCACTGCTCCCCAACAGTGGGGCATGATCCCATTCTGCACCCAGGATCCCCCCCTGGATGCAGGATCCTGTAGGTCCTGTGCAGGGCATCACCCCAGGAGCTGGCACAGGAGGAGCCCTGGCTGTAATGAACACCCAAGAAATGCCCAACAAACAGAAACCACGTCTGTTTTATTTTCTTTTCCTAAAGACTTTAAAGATGCTCTCCTCATTTTGGGAGTAAACTGGTTTTGCATTTTGCTGCTGAATCAGCCAGCAAAGCCTGCAGTGTGTCTAAAGGCCAAAGTGATGGTGAGACCCCAAACCAGGAAGCACAGCCCAGCCCTCTCTGCCTCATGCAAGCCCTGGGGAGCCTATGACATCCAAGCCCATGGTGGCTGAGCTTCCCCATATCGCTCTCCACAAGGAAAGGGGATCCAGGCAGCCAAGACCTTCTGAGTATGAGGCTGTGTCGAGCTGCTGGAGCCCCCCCAGTTCTCCCACCCACAGGGAAGGTATGGAGAATGGGAATGACAGTCTGCACTGAGATGTGCTGCTTAAAAATAACTCCTTTTCAACCCAACCTTCGACGCCGCCCCCGGCACAGGGCAGGAGGCGGCCACAGGAGCAGTACCCAGGTACCAGCTCCTTCCCCATCCCACCTCCCATCCTGGCTGCAGGAGACTGAAGCCAAGGCCAGCAGGGGAGCAGCAGTGACCCCAGTGCATGGTGCATCCCTCATGCTGGATACTTGGGGTGGTCTGAGCCCCCATATCCCCACCTGTGCAGTGCCTCCTCCTTCCCTAGTTCTCCGAGTTCACATCAAGTTCCCCTCCTTGGCTACACATAAAGGTCTCCAGAGACAGGGAACAGGAGAAAAATCTGCCAGACATTTCTGGGGGTTTCCCAGCAGGAGCAAACTCTGCCACCATCCACTGGTAGCTCCCAGTCCAGAGCCTCCCCTGGGCTCATTCCCAAGGAATAAAACCTCCCTGTGTGAACCTGACACAAGTGTTCCCAATGCAGTGACAAAATCCATGCTCCAGCGGGGGACACTCATTAATCAACCATAATTAATTAAGTTCCCTCATTGAAACTTCCACATAAACTCAGTAATGCTAATTACCACAGCATGGGAAGGATTATCCCCTTCCCAGTGGGAGTCACCTTCTGGTCCTGGAGTCTCACTGAAATTGTGACAGATTTTCACCTTTGCTGCAGCACTGAAGACCCTGGGATTGACAACCCAAAGGTCAGAAGTGCCCCTTATTGTCCTCTCCACAACACAAAGACCTTGGTTTTCCCAGGTGAAGGATGGGATGGAGGAGGGGTTAACACAAAACCACCTGCACCAAGCAACTATCAACAGGGCCATCACCCTGACATCTGGCCGGGGTGCGGAGAATCATCGTGCTTGCCTCCCATCATCAGGTCACACGTCCCACACAGTGGTCAGGAGCCACCAAGGCCACTACTGTCACTTGGAATGTGATCCAGGGAAAGATGGTGCTGGGGTGATTTGGGGACATACGGGTCTCTCCTTTTGCTTTCCACCTTGTGCTTGACCCCAGGCAGGAGGCTCCTGATGGGCAAATGGGTACGTGAGGAGTGAGTGGCATCAGTACCACCAGTAGCTCCAGATCCAATCACCCTGACTTCTCCAAACTCCTCCCTGCTCCTAAAAAATGGGGCCATGCTCTGAACACCTCTCTAACCCTCAGGCAAAAGAAAGTGTGTGGAAACATCCCACTGATTACTAATTATCAGAGCTTGCCTTACCCAGATTTGCTTTGCCTAATTAGGACTAATCTCCACGGCTGGGAAATGAGCTGCAGTCATCCATGGTGAGGAGCTCATGCAACTTGGATGTTGCTTAAGTCTGACATGTCAGACCCCTGTGATGGGAGTGGGATCGTAATTCCTGGCTGCTTCTGACAGGCCATTGTTTAAGGAGACAATGAAAATCCACAAATTTGGTGTTTCTCCCTCAAGTCAGTGCTGAAATCAGGACATCTGCATTGCTCAACTTTTTTGATAGGAACCAGATGCAAATAATTAATAAATCCAAATTCAAGATAATGCGGACTAAATTTTAATGGAGAGAGCTCTTTGCTCACTTGGAGGAGAGGGAGGAGTGAGTGGCTCAGGGGGATTTCCTGGGAGAATTCCTGCCTCTGGGAAGTGGTGTGGGGTGGCAGGGCACCCAAGGATGCAGGCTGTGGCCAAGCACCTTGCAAATCCTCGCTGCCAAGAGAAAAGGAAGGAGAGTAAAAGAAAAATCCATAGGTTGAGATTTCCAGGGAATTAGGACTAAGCTCTTTCTGAATTTGGCAGAAATTCTGCCTTCTGCTGCTTCTTTGAAAAATCCCTGCCAGCATGGAGGGAGGGGACGGGATGGAATGATGGAGTCCAGAGGCTACCTCCTTGCTCTCAGGCACAGCCCAAGTTATCCAGGGGGTACAGACACACAGATCCCATCTCCCACTCCACAGCCCCACATCCCACTCTGCCTGCGAGCAATGAAGTTCCCAGCTGTACTCCCAGCTGGTATCACTCTTAACTCCCAGCTTTTTAACCCCCATCTCCCCTACTCTTCACCCTGCAAAAGACACATCTCGCTGATTTCATGAGCAAGGATCCAAACCCACCTAGAGGTGAGACAGAGCCGTGGGTCTGGCTGCTGACCCTTCCATGCCATAAAGCTCAGCCCCTTGTGCACACAGGCCGTCCCGATCCCAAACTCCAGGATCTACTGGGAAAATTTCCACCCAGTTCTCTCTCGAGCGTCTACATCAAACCCTGCGTGGGGATCAGCTGCGGGGCTACTCCTCACGCCGGTCCTCTGCCAAGAGCCTCAGGAATTGCAGAAAGTGCTGGGATTGGGCAGTTCTGCTGAGCTCCCAGATTTTGGCCGTGTGAAGATGCGTGCGCTTGCACAAGAGTGTGCGTGCACATCTGCGCGCAGCTGGCTGCTCATGCGAGTATGTGTGGTGTGTGTCCTTGTTCGTGTCTGGGTGTTCCTGCGTGTGCCTGGTGTCTGTGGGAGCAGATTTGTATCCGTGGGTACATGGTGTCCGTGGGTGCCGGTGCCCCTCGGTGCGCAGCGCCCACGGGCGTGCGGGGGTGCTCCGTGTCCGGCGCATCCCGCGCCGTGTGCCCGAGGTGGATGTGGAAGCACACGGCCGGCGCCGCGTGTCCGTGTCCGTGCCCCCCCGCCGTCCCCCCGTCCCCGCACTCACCGGCGGCCGCCGAGCCGTGCGCCTCCCGCCGGGGCCAGGGCCGGTGCCCCGGGGGCGGCGGGCGCTGGGCTCCGCCGCCGCGGCCGGGGCCATGGAGCGGCGGGGCGGCGGGACCGCGGCTCCCCGCTCGCCGCCGCCGGGACGTCTGGGCGCGGGTTCCGCCCGGCCCCGGGTCCCGCCCCGGCCCGCGGGGGGCGGAGCGCGGCGGGGTCGGGCGGGGGACGGGACGGGACCCCCGCGCCCCGCCCGGGGCGGCTCCGCCGGGGCCGGCCGCCGCTTCCCGGCCGTGGGAAAGTTGCGATCGCGGTGCGGGATCGATGGGATTCGGGATTTTCCTGGCTGCGAGCGGGGCCGGCAGCGGCGGGGGATGGAAGGGGCCGGGCTGGGATCCTTCCTCCGCCCCGTTCCCGGTCCCCTCGCCCAGCGGCGACCCCAGGCCCTCCCGCAGGATGGGCCCTGCGTCGCCGGAGGATGCTCCAGTGGAAGAGGGAGGGATGAAACTGGATGGTCTTTAAGGACCCTTCACAGACAGACTATTCCATGATTCTCCGATCCTATGAAATACTCAGAGCTCAGAGATCCTTCTCCACCCCGCCAGCAAAGCCCCCCAGGCTCCCAGCCTGCAGTGCACCAGAAGATCCCAGTTCTCCAAGACAGGCCAGCGTGCACTGGGACTGGGGCTGCAGTGGACCCCCCCGCTTTCAGCACAGGGAATTCAGCAGTTGGGATGAAGCATTATCCCACGTCAGTCCTGGCAGTTGGAGGCGTTTGCTGCAGCCCCCCCAGACGGTACTAACGCAAGTTCCAAAGGCACTTTCTCCTCCAGGCAGGCACAGTGCAAAGACCCTCTGCAAGGAACTGCTCAGCATGCAGACCTTTGTTTCCTCTCCTCTGAACTTGCCAAAGACACAGCACATCTCTCTGTCAACCCCAGGGATTATGGCACAGCACCACCATTCTTGCATCCTCATCCCTCATCTCCATCCCCACATGCTTATCCCCTCATCCTATTTCCTTCTCCCCGTGCCCACATCCCCATCCCCACAGGGCAATGAACAGAATCCCACAGCTGTAACCAGGGGCACACCCTGACACACCAAAACTGCCAATCCAAGTCTTCACCAGCATATATCCACCCCAGCACCACAGCCCCACACTCCAGTAAGTGCTGTGGGGACTCCATCTCACCCAGAGCCTCAGATGTTCTGCAGGCAGAGACATCTTTCTCAGCCTTTAATTAAAAGTGTGACAAGGTCATATTCCCCAGATCCCCGCTCTCCCTATGAAGTCACACAACAACTCAGCAATGCCCTGCATAACTTTGCCACTGATACCCCACAGTCCAGAAGCAGATACAGGATCCAGCTAAATGTTTCTATGACACGGAGCACTTCCTGAGAAAGGTTTTTAGGGATAAAGCTTAAAAATGAGGTGCAGCACACCAGGTTCCACACCTGTCTCTGGAAGTGAGCATCATCCAGAGGGTTGATGATGAAGGAAATTAATCCCTGGTTCTGGGGGAATGCTGCACAGGGTCGATTCTTTGCCTCCTTGCAAGCTCAATTAAAGCAACTTCTGTGAATCTTTGGAGTTTCTTCAAGGAAGGCTGTGGGTCCAAGGTACCAGATACATTGCTGGAGTGTAGCAATGCCTCACTCATCCAAGCCTTCCAGACAAGGAACACTACTGCTCAGGGAAGAATGGGATTTGACTTTAGCTTTTCATGCTGTTCAAGCAACACATTCAAAGTCTCCCTTTGCCACCACTGGAACCAATGTGGGTACCCCATGATCCAGGAGAAATTAGTGCTTTTGAGCAAAATTTGATTTCTATTCAGAGGCTGTACCTGTGCCAGGCAGTGCTGGCCAAAGAGCCAGAGCGGGAAGTGGTGGGAGCTCAGTGCTGGCAGCTTTTGGAGCAGGGCTTGGTGGTTTGGCAGCATGGGCAGGGCAGGGGGCTGGCAGCATGGGGCTGGCAGACACCACCATGCTTCAGTAGTTCCCCTCCCTGCACAGGCTCTGTCTCCACAGTAGTTTTCCAGTCACAGGTCACCAGTGATGCACTGAGTGGTCTGGTCTCCCCCAGGGGTCAACTGTTAATGTGGGGAGAGATGCTGGAGGCAGGACTGGGGGAGAGGGAAACTGCCTGTGGTTCCATGGGGTTAAAGTTGGACTGTGCAAGAAATGTGCAAGAACTGGGCAAGAAGAGCTCAGCCTGGATTTTCCACCCTTCCCAAGATGAAAGCTGCTAGGATGGGGATGTGGGTTAGTGCAGATAGTGGAACCACCTCTCTCCAGAGGAGCAGAGGGGTGAAGAGAAGAAAAGAACCCACTAGGGACAAAATTGCCAGCAGGGAGAGAAGAATAAGAGGGGGCTCAGGGAGGAGGTTTTGGAGAAGAGTCCATGGCAGGGCAGGAGACGTACAGGACCAAAAGCTCAGAGCTTTTTCCCTATGCCATGGGAAAGGGTGGCAGTGGTGGCTCTTACAGACATATCTGGGATTGGGAAGAACAGCAAGAAACAATATGAAAAAGAACCAACATCACTATCTCTCTTTAAAGAGAGAAAAATTAGATCTCATAATAACTGGCCACCTTCTCTTGATTTTAGGGGAGAGAGGGAACCTGAATCCTTGTTTGAAGCTCTGGTAATCCTGGCAAAACCTTCTCTGCTCTCTGCTGCTTTGGCTGGGGACTGAATCTGGGCAGGAGGGACCATGTGGATGGAGGAAGGAAGACCAGGCAGGGAGTGATCACAGCCAGGATCTGAGAGAAGAGACAAGGAATGTTGTTATGGAGAGGCTGAAAGCTCAGGGTGGGGATGACTCATGCTGGAGAACATACAGCTGTTGGAACAGGTTTTGGCACTGGCTCGCGGGGCTGAGGAGCCTCCCCCATTACCAGAGAGGGGAAAGAGGAGCCCCCATGATGGCTTTGACCTGGCAGAGGCAGCTGTCGACCTGTGCTGGAGGTGATGGCCAGAGAATGCTGCCTGCTAAAGCAGGGTGATAGCCTAGAGAGGTATTTTGGGCAGCAGAGAGTGCGCAGTAGTGAGATCCCTCTAGCTGAGGGATGTGTATCCTGAGTGCCAGGGCTCCTCTACTCTCCATGACACTGCCTTGGAGAAGGAGAGTCAGAGCAGAGGGGCTGGGACAGGGCTGGACAGATCAGTTGTGAAGCATAAAGCATGAAGCAGACATTACCCCCTTACCTAGTGAAAGGGGAACCAAGGCATGGAGCAGAGTATGCTCCCTGTGGGCTCCTTGGCCCATGGTCAAGGCCTCCTTCTGCTAGGAGAGGTGGATGGGGACTGGAAGTGATTTCTGCCTGAGGAGTCAGACCACCATCCCTCCTGGGCTGCTGGCAGCTGATGGTTGTAGGGCACCAGAGCTTCCATCCAGCTTCTATCCAGCTTCCATCCAACTTTCATCCAGCAGATGCTGCAGCTGCTTCCCCAGAATTCACAAGACTTCCACATGGCTGAGGGGAAAAAACAATCCCCCACATCCACTGGAGCTGAGGCAGGCAGAGAAGGAGATTTGGGCAAGGCATTAGGGGCAGAAGGGCAAACCAGCACCTTTCCAAAGTCACTTTCAGAGAGATGGTTTTTGTACGATGCCTGATTCCTGGTGCTGTGGGCTAACAGCTCCATAGGCTGCTTCAGAGGTGGCCCCATTACTGGGGTAAGTGAAACAATTGTAAATACAAACAGACTTGTAATTAATCATGCTCTGTAAATGTGAAGTCATTACCTGGAAAAGTAATTATCTCCAGCTTTTCAGTAAGAACTTGGAAAAGCCTAAAGAGTTGAGTTCTGGAAATGTCATCCATCTCCATGTCAAAGAAAAGCTGCATATTTTCACATATTAATGCAAGTTAATCGCATATACAAAATAAGTGAGATTTAATAAGTCTCCGAAGCTGTTAAATGCCTCTTCTCTTCCCAGGGATTTATGAAAGTGTTTCGCAAACTTTGGACACAAACATTGGACACATCCTGTGGTGCTGTGTTTAATTTTCTAACCAGTGGACATAAGATGGGATCTGATTTACAGATCTGTCCTCCACTGCCATGTAAAGCAATCCTTCCTTGCCTGACTGGGCTCATGGGTGCAGAGCTCCGTGTAACACATTTCTCCTTCCAAACAGCCAAACCCAAATGTTTTCCAGTTGAAAGGAACATCGAGTCAACCACTTCAAGCCAAAACACAAATCTATGAAGTTTTATGCAACTGAAAGTCCACAGAAACACATCCATGCTTGACTGAAAATATTTGGGAAGATGACATTGCCTGCTGCATTTACATTCCTGATGCTCCAGCAGCCACCTGGAGAGAGGAAGAGCAAGAGGAGGAGGAGGAAAAGGAGGAGGAGGAACAGGAAGCGAGGGGCTGTAGACCTGGGGGCAGCACTTGCCAGAAACTACTGGGCCATTGCATTTCCAGTTTGGACAGTGCAGTGTTATCACAGGCTGGGTAGGAGATCTGCACTAAAGTGGGTTTAATGTCACCCTTTGTGTCTAGCACACACTGTGAGCAGAGAGCTGCAGGAAAGGTGCTCAATCTCATGTACACATACCCAGCCCTCAGTGGGTGGCTCAGTTTGGAATTAGTGCAGCCAGAATGAATTTTAAGCAGCCAGAAGCACTCAGGAGAGGGGCCTTTGCTCTGGAGTAGCTGCATCTGGTCATCACTTGCTTTTCTTTGTCACATAAAGGATCAAGATCAATATCCTGATGGGAAGGGTGGACTGTCTCTAAAGATTATTCCAAAATGCACCAAAAGGCTCATCCTTCTATCTCGTCACCAGCTTTCAGAGAGTTTCTTGCATCAAAGTGTTTTGGTTTGTCATTTCAGTTATATCCTAAATTACTAAGCATTAGTGCTTGCTAATGTTGAAATAACAGAAATAAAAGCTGAAGTGCTTCATCTAAAGCTGGGATGAGATTTTTTACAGAAATGCAATATTCTGAGATTGCCTTTTCATTTCAAAATGAGCCATAATATTTTCAGCTCCACATACCTCTTGA